GGGATGAAGAGGGTATGTCAATCAAGTTTTTTACCAAATGCAAGAAAAGTAACGAAAACATGTTCAGGCCAAAATAACATTTCAGACAATGAGCAGATTTGTTGACTCTCGCAATGTCGGGAATTGAGAGACATAAATCCAGCACTAATTATCTGATCCAACAGCCACCCAAACACCCAATAACAGCATGTTAAATTGACGTCTTTACCAACAGGTAGCACCTGTATCAGGTTAACAGCAGAAAGCCAGTACTCACTTCCATTCTAACATCCTAACAGCTGCACCAAGCAAAGCTGGACTAGAAGCAGACGACTGCTCCTGCGCAGGTTGTCCTACACCTTCTCTTTAGAGATTCCTTTTTTCTTTTAACTCTCATTCATTAGCATAAAGCTCGGGGCCTTGGAGTGGTTGGAGAAACCTGTCGGAACAGCTCTGATCGAGCATAGCCACTTTCTTTTAGATGGTTTTATTCAGACAAGGCCAGATCCGTTTTGTTTCACTACGGTTTATGTTTTTGTTGCTTATTCTAAAACCTGAAAACCATTTCTATAAAGTAGGTTTCTTAAATAATATATAAGTTCTAAGTCTTCTCTGGATAATTTGGGTTTTGTGGTTATCTAATAGGATCAAGGACAAAAAAACTCCTCCTTCTAAGTAATAAAAATTCCAGACTTAATTCTGATTAGAAATCTGCAGCTAAACTTGGATAATGATTTTAAAGATGGTTTCATCTGACTTTGGCTGAGGGAATCAGCAAAGAAGAAAGAGCAGAAACTATAGGGTCCTTGCGGATGACAGAATAGCCATTATAGCTGCTTAAGATGCACTTTGAGGGTCTGTTTTGATTTAACACGTCTGTTGCAGCAATGAAACTTCAGGATGTCAATGAACTGGAGAACAAAGAGTCCTAAAGAAGGCTGCTAGAGACTGGTCATGTCATGGTTGCAGGAAGTCCTACAGTACCAACAGAAAGATGCTTCATAAAGCACCAGAGATGCTCGGTATGAAAATGTTGAGTAATTTGGGGACTGCAGTAGCCATTGGAAGTGGGATTTTGTGATTCATTTAATAGTAATTCATATTGTTGAGGTAATTTAATTAATATTTTTTAAATCCTCTACTGCTAACAAATGCAAAAGAGGGTTGCAACACTTCTTTCACCTGCATGTTCCTCAGTATCCAGAGAGCCCTACCGTTAAAGTTTGAAATAATATACAGGAACATCCAATCCAACACTCCTGGTGCCAAACTCTGTCCATTAGTGCGTCTTCAGACACATCCTCATGAAACCCCTCCCCCTCTGTAAAAACCCCTGCGGTGAAACATTACAGACAGCCATGAGAAAGCTCTCAGTGGGATTGTGAGGACATCCCTGCCTTCAGCAACGCCGTGCTTCGTCAGCCAAGACTCTGATTAAGTCCCAGCAGTGGAGTAATGAGAGCGGCTACGCTCAGTAAGACGCTGACATCAGTCTGACGCAGGCAGGCAGGCAAAAAAAAGAGAAACATTCACATTCTGGAGCATATGCGAGACCCAGACCACGGCGGATTTGTCCTGAAGCTCACTCTGGGTAGATTTGGAGCGCCTGATTACTCCAGCTAAAGCAAACCCTTTCTACTCTGGTGCTGCAGACTGATGCATGAATAAGACATGAAGCGCTAAATACCAAGGATAGATGCGCTGAGCGGTGAAATAAGACATAGCATGCAGGCAAGAACGTACATCAGGAGAATTTACTACTGGAGATTGGCAGAGGGGAAAGTCAGCCAAGTAGGCTGGTTAATCTCCTGTTTTCTCAGCAGCTCCTTCAGCTGAGTACTTGATGAAAGAAGCTGCTGCAGAACGTTTTGGAGAGAGTGTGGGAACTTACTACAAAGACTCATCTAAAAATAGGTTAAACATTCTTAAAATAAGGGTATCTGCCCATAATTTGATCAGGTTAATAAAATGATTTGCGAAAGCAGTTTTCCCCTAAAATAAGATAGATATCATGCATTTGAAATAAGATAGAGGCATTTAACTTATTCCATTGGCAAATTATTTCCTTTAGCTGCTCAAATCAAAAGAAAACAACTTCTAGTTTCATTTTTGCTATAGATTGGGGATAATGAGTTGTTGTTTACAAAATTCTTCCGAGGGGGGGAAAAATAAAAAAATACTTCCTTAAGTTCAAATCTATGGTTACCTATTTATCACAAAAACACTGCCCTCTTAATGACCTGATAATGTTGACAGAATGGCGTCCAAAATTTTGATTTAAATCTAACATCGGCCAATAATGTTTTAACACAAATTCAAGAGCAAACCTGTTCTCTGCTTTGATGCTGCAATAACAAAAAAGCAAAACATTGAGTAGCCCTGGCTGAAACAACACTCTTCCGTACAGGTGTTGTTACCGAGGGAAGAATCATATCAATTTTTATTAATCACTGGGGGGGCTGACTAATAGGATCCATTAGGAAGGATGTTAGCCATCTTTCAACAATCCAGGAATTATCAGGAAGCCTGATAGAAATGCAGAAGATTGGTTCTGTTTGGCAAAAGCAGACGTCCGTTAAGGAACATGTAGGGTTTGTAAATGTTTAGTCTTTCAGGTTATAGTTGTCGCTTGGGTCTGGTCACGAACCAGTTTTGCTGGTATGCTTCTGCACTGTTGGTCTAGAATTTCTGGGGACGCACAGCAGTTTCCGCCAAAGCGCAAGAGGGAGCCTAATCAAGTACTCGCGAGAACATTGGCGGATGGTCACGAGAACTTCGGAGGCGCCGGCGGGAGTGTTTATCTTCCAAAACAACAATGGGGCGTCTGCTAGATATCTCGGTCACGGAGATGCATCTAGACTTGCTAGACATCGAAGAGGAACAGGTTCTGTTAATGGAGTTGGCAAAAAAGACCGATTAACCTTTCGTTGTAGTTGTCCATTGTAGTTGTTTATCGGTTTTTAAAAATGGCGCACCCTGGCATCGAATCGAGAAGGACGACCGCACAGACAGCCGGAAAGGCATTCCACGGACCAATCGAAGCTGCTTTTTGTCTGCGCACTTCCGCTTGAGGTGTGAATGGCTTTGCGACCATCCGACGCGTAGTAAGGATTTTTTTGAGGTGTGCGAACCTCTGTGCGGGGGCGTGGTCGCGCACAGACAGATTTGACGGTTGCAGAGGCTATGCGTTAGAAGCATAAATTGGCCTAAAGCCCTATTATGGAGCTACTTTGACCTGGCATCAACCTACTAGTGCAGAAACCTTTCGTGTCAATGTTAGAGTCTTAACCAGAAGTAAATATTGATTTAGTTTGGAACATTTAAAAAAATAAAACAATCATGTATATAAAATTTTCCACTTTTATTCTGCATCACTCTGACAGGAAATGTATTGTTTAATGAAAACATTGTTGATAAGATCTTTAAGTAAATACTATGTCTGCAGACTTATTAAACAAAATTAAATTGTACATACAAGATAGATACTCTAATCCGATAGAGCACAATTCCCAAAATTAACACACATAAAATTATCTCATATTTATCAAAAAGTCCTGTGAGAGTCCGTCTCCAGACACCGTAACACTCATATCAATAGCTCATCTCAATGACTAGAAAGCAGATGTCTGAGCAGAGATGATTCAGTCATTCAAATCTCTTCCCCATGACTCAGCAAATATTACACTTTCTATAAACAATGTGCAGTGAACGACAGAGCTTATAAGGTAGGGTTGCTTCGTTTTGGGGAAGAAATAAATGGATAAATCAAGATAACTCAAGGTATCTTTGAAAAAGCATTTAAGCCCTATATTTAGGATTAGTAAGTCCAATAAGTACAGAAAGTGTGGGGATAAATTCTGATGACCAAAGGGAAAGATTTCCGTTCAGTGCTGACGCAGTGAAGTCCAAACAATGTTAAGGTCTGAAGCTGTGTTTGTTTTGGCCAGTCAGTCTTCCAGTATGGCGCCAAGTCAGAGAAAAGTTTACAAAAACCTTCACATCAGGAGGTGTTTAAAGAGAATGAGGCAATTATCGCCAAACAGCCACAACAGCATCAGTGTAACTGATCTAAAATACAGACTAAGAGGATTATTAGTCAGTTGCTACAGAACTGGGTCAGTTTAACCTCTGATAATTCAAAGGGAAATTGCCTTCTGGCTCAATTCTGACTTCTATCAGTTGATTCCTTAAACATCATAGCTACCTAATTTTAGCCTAAAAGGCCTCAAATGAGTGATTTGAGGGTCAAAAAAGGACAAACAGCCAGACTGTCTGCAGCAGTTTCTCTTATTAGACTGTTTGTACTGGTGAAACCTTTTGGTTCACGTCCTAACATGCCATCTGATGTCAAACCAGCCCAGCTGAGGCGTTGCTATCTGATCCACCTGTCAGGTATATCTCTGCTATCTTTTGTCTCAGTCCAAGCAACACAATCAAATGTCTTGCCTGCATTTAAAGCTGAAATATGAGTTGGTAGTTTATAAATGCCTGTTTATAGAAGACAGCAAGACTCAGACATTCAACACTGTGACTTAATCCATCACATAATCCATAGTTTGATCCTGTGCTTGCAAGCATCAGACGTCAACATGATTTCGGAGTTTCACTATTAGACTGAGTGCAAAAGCTGTAGCTGCAGTTTTAGCTTGGCCTGGTCCATTTGAGAGGGGGTTACCGGGTCCACGTTCTCGCCTGACATTAGTTTGACCCAGTCGCTGCAAACAAACTGGGAATGCTGTGTCTACAAACAGGATCAAGCTGAGCTCTTCTACCAACTGGGGCAACTTTCTGCAACCGCATCCCGTTTGCCTGTTTCTGGCTTCCTGTTGGGTTTACCAGAAAGTGGACCGGCCCTCCCCCCCCAACGTACCAGATGGCCCGTCGCTGCCCAGGCTGATAAACACAACTATCCTTCCACCTCGTTAACTGACAAAGCTCCTTAAATCCTTCCTGGATCATTCCAGCAGTCATCCAGGCTGAAAGCAGCGTACAGAAGCTTTCTGGGGCAGATCGTTACGTACCTGAACCTGCTCGCCCCGCACGGAGGAGTCGCCCAGCAGCGGCTCGGCGGGCGGCGAGTTGATTGTGACCGACTTTTCAGAGCGGCTGTCTTTGCTGCGTGACTTGTGTCGGTCTCGGCTTCGCTCTCTGGAAGACAGAAAGAAAAGAAAAAAAAGAATTAAGGTTTTCCTCATCAGCTCCATCCCTCCTCTCGTTTTGCTCCATCCGTGTGACCTGCGACATATGAGCTCCATTAGCTTGACTGACCTCCGGCCTTTACAGCCCTAATCGTTTGTAGAGCGTAAACGGCAGGTAACCTGAATATAGATCCCCCTCCCAATGTGGCATGACTCCCACTCACTGGTTCCACTACAGACTAAAGCCTTGCTAATCCCTCATTGGTTTCCCTTCCCTGCAGGCTTTAAGGTAAAGCAGGCTATAGAGCAGAAAACACTCAGCCAGGGCAATTCTTTCAAAAGCATTAATGCTTCTCCTCTATTATAACCACAAATGGAAAACGTTCTGGGATGATATGCGATTTACCAACACAACAATCAAAGAAATTATTTCAGTCCAAATAATTTGAATCCATTCATTGAACTGGGAAGCTTAAGGCACTAATTGAAACTTACAGATAAAAACAAACGGCCCTAAAGAGGAGCAGTAAAAGTCCTACGATCTGGAGGAAAATAAAAAAATCACTTGACAGGGCAACTAGTTAACTGTGTGCCACAACTGTTAAAGAGTAAACAGACTTTTTGTTGATGGAAAAAAGCAATAGGCACAACACAGAAAATGTTTATAGAAATGTTCTCTGATGAGATGTCAGACATTGTGTACAAAACATTTTCTGGTAAATAGCGTTTCTACAACTCTTGTCCACCATCTTGTTTCTGAATGCAGCGTGGTTTGTTAAGAGGTCGATTAAGTGGTGATCCTGATCTTTCATGTTGAGTCGATGTATGGGAAGCCTTGGTGAATTTGTCTTTTAAGCTGAGAGTGTTTGTTCGTATGGCAAGATGTTGAGTTTCAAAAACTTAATGACTTTTAGTAGTGTGGCTTACATAACAAATAAAAAAAGCATGAAATAAATTTATCTTTCTCTTTCCTTTTTGTATCTTAAAAAAACTAGGAAAATTAAGACAATAAAATAAAAAGGAAATTAAAATAATTTTAACTTCCCTTTTAATCCTCCAGAAAATGGGAAGATGAAACTGAAAGGAAAGAAAAGAACCAAAAACCTCTTTAAAAAAAAGAGAGGGAACTAAAAGAAACAAAGAAAGAACAATTTCAGCGTTTTTACCACTGATATCTACCTGGAGCTTGAAATTAAAATATTCTCATCTTGATGCTTTAACAGAAATAGTTTATATATGTCAAATCAACAAAAAAAAAAGACAAAAAAATTCACAGTGAATCATCAGAAAAGTGAGTGCACCCATTTTGACTAGATAGGTGACTGGATATTAATATTAGACGATCTTGAGTAAAGCTTATTTATCTCCATCTAACTTCAAATCAGCACAAATTATTTCTAATTCAATTCGAATCAAAAATGATTTATTAATCCCAAAGGGAAATTAAATGTTGCAGTATCTTATAGGCTTTTATTAGGGTTTTTTTTTTTTTTTTCAAGAAGTTGAGTCTAATCAGGTCTTGATACTTGTAAGCAGGTAGGCTCTTCTGTAGCGGTCTATTATGCACCAGATCTGGAGAAGCCTCTTACTGAAGACACTTAAAAATAAAAAGAAGATGGTCATTGTTGTCAATAATGTTCTTCACTTTATGAAAAAAAAAAGAAAATTGTGAAAAAATCTCCAGAAGTTCTAGAGAAGTTCGTAGAACAGAGCTGATCTTCATTAGCTTGTTGACCTTTTTTAAGTAATTAGCTCTGATGCTCTTACAAAGCAGATGACAGCAAAAAAGATCAAAGTCTCCACAACAGATTTATAGAAAATATGCAGCATCTTGCTGCAAAAGCAGAAGGACTAATCTTAAAAAGAACAATCTGCTCAGTCCCTTGAAAGAAGACAAAAAATAAAAAGGAAATTAAAACCATTTTATCTCCCCTTTTAACCCTGCCAGGAAGGGAAAATGAAATTGAAAGGAAGGAAAAAAAAACAAAAAGAAAGGAAATTAAACTGTCATTTACTTTTCCCCACTTTAAAATAAGGAAAGAGAACTAAAAGAAATGTAAGTTTTATTATTCTTTTTTCCTCCTAGAAAAGGACTAAACGGGGCAGGTAAAATAAAAAATAGAAACAAAAGAAGGAATCTACACAACAATCTACATGGAGCTTGAAATTAAGATAGAAAATATGTAGCATCTTGCTGCAAAAGCTGAAGGACTAATCTTAAAAAGAACAATCTGCTCAGTCCCTTGAATGAAGACAAAAAATAAAAAGGAAATTAAAACCATTTTATCTCCCCTTTTATCCCTGCCAGGAAGGGAAAATGAAATTAAAAGAAAGTAAAAGAACCAAAAGAAAGGAAATTAAACTGTCTTTTACTTTTCCCCACTTTAAAAAAAGGAAAGAGAACTAAAAGAAATGTAAGTTTTATTATTCTTTTTTCCTCCTAGAAAAGGACTAAACGGGGCAGGTAAAATAAAAAATAGAAACGAAAGAAGGAATCTACACAACAATCTACATGGAGCATGAAATTAAAATAGAAAATAGAAAATATGTAGCATCTTGCTGCAAAAGCTGGAGGACTAATCTTAAAAAGAACAATCTGCTCTGTCCCTTCTTGCATATGGCTTCACATTTAAGTCTCCAGTCTACACTCACCGGCCACTTTATTAGGTACCCCATGCTAGTAACGGGTTGGACCCCCTTTTGCCTTCAGAACTGCCTCAATTCTTGGTGGCATAGATTCAACAAGGTGCTGGAAGCATTCCTCAGGGAGTTTGGTCCATATTGACATGATGGCATCACACAGTTGCCGCAGATTTGTCGGCTGCACATCCATGATGCAAATCTCCCGTTCCACCACATCCCAAAGATGCTCTATTGGATTGAGATCTGGTGACTGTGGAGACCATTTGAGTACAGTGAACTCATTGCCATGTTCAAGAAACCAGTCTGAGATGATTCCAGCTTTATCGCATGGCGCATTATCCTGCTGAAAGTAGCCATCAGAAGTTGGGTACATTGTGGTCATAAAGGGATGGACATGGTCAGGAACAATACTCAGGTTGGCTGTGGCGTTGCAACAATGCTCAATTGGTAGCAAGGGGCCCAAAGAGTGCCAAGAAAATATTCCCCACACCATGACACCACCACCACCAGCCTGAACCGTTGATACAAGGCAGGATGGATCCATGCTTTCATGTTGTAGACGCCAAATTCTGACCCTACCATCCGAATGTCGCAGCAGAAATCGAGACTCATCAGACCAGGCAACGTTTTTCCAATCTTCTATTGTCCAATTTGATGAGCTTGTGCAAATTGTAGCCTCAGTTTCCTGTTCTTAGCTGAAAGGAGTGGCACCCGGTGTGGTCTTCTGCTGTTGTAGCCCATCTGCCTCAAAGTTCGACGTACTGTGCGTTCAGAGATGCTCTTCTGCCCACCTTGGTTGTAACGGGTGGTTATTTGAGTCACTGTTGCCCTTCTATCAGCTCGAACCAGTCTGGCCATTCTCCTCTGACCTCTGGCATCAACAAGGCATTTCCGCCCACAGAACTGCCGCTCACTGGATGTTTTTTCTTTTTCGGACCATTCTCTGTAAACCCTAGAGATGGTTGTGCGTGAAAATCCCAGTAGATCAGCAGTTTCTGAAATACTCAGACCAGCCCTTCTGGCACCAACAATCATGCCACGTTCAAAGTCACTCAAATCACCTTTCTTCCCCATACTGATGCTCGGTTTGAACTGCAGGAGATTGTCTTGACCATGTCTACATGCCTAAATGCACTGAGTTGCCGCCATGTGATTAGCTGCTTAGAAATTAGATGTTAACGAGCAGTTGGACAGGTGTACCTAATAAAGTGGCCGGTGAGTGTAGTTTGTAGTCCAAGTGAAAAAAAGATATTTACTGCTCAACCCCCTCCACTTCTTCTCCCATGATGTTAGTAGGATTCAACTTGTTCTTTTTATTCTAAAATCTACCAATATTGTTTTATTCCCATTCAGAATCAGTTGATCAGTTGACCTTTAGAAGTACGATTCAATTTTGGGAGGAAATGGTCTTAGATTAGAATACCCTGAAACTGTCTGCTAAAAATCAGTTTAGGTAGCCCAGAAAACAAATCTACACTCATAACTTTAGACTTTTTCAGGCAGATAAAATCCTGTCATGGTTAAATAAGATCTGCTGCCTGTAAACAACAACTATCTGAGGCAGCTCAGAGGATATCCTGCCTGCAGGGGGTGGACTGAAGGGAAACCCAGTGAATGACAGCAGTAGAAACAACAGTTTAACAGAGCTGCTTTGGATGTGACTACAGGGTGTTACCAGCCTGCTTTCCGCCTCCGTACCTCTGCTTCCTTTTGAATATGCTTCTGATTCCCCACAGAAAATCCCAGCTGCTGTTATAAGCGCACGCAGAAAGAGAAAGCCCAATTTGAATAGCCTGCAGCGGCCTGCTTCACTCAGACTGACATGTTCTTATCATATAAATCCAGGAGATTAGGAGGCTGATGAAAGCCTTTAAGTATATTTTACCACTATCCTTATTACTCCAAATATTATTACAACCACTCTAAACACGGTGGAGATGGTTATTCTAGAGGGAGCCATCATCATTCAAACGCTTGCACTCGTTATGCTTATTAATTGAAAGTGGAGCGATGCAGAAGAAGCTGGGAGGAGAAGCTGCAGTGATCCTACTTCAAAGTCTTTATGAAAATCAGGAGAATATAAGGAAGAAGCAGCATCTACAGAGGAGACACAGGGAGGGGGAAAAAAGACGGCTGTTAAGGCGAATAAAAACTGGCAGTTGAGAAAAATCGATGTTTAACTGTGGTGATAATTCTATAAATTAACTACCGATCTACTGGAAATACACCTACTTTATAACATATTAATAGCCCAAGATAACAACACCCCTCTTTCCCAGAGACTCATTGGCATGCAGCTGGCTGGCTGGGGCCTCCACCTCCATGCTGAGTAAGGATTTGATTAATGGAATCTGACTTTCCAAGTGGGTCTCTGAAACGAGTCTTGCTTCTTGGAAAGGTTAGTAGGGAGGCCTTTGTGAAAGCTGGCAGGCTGGAGCAGAATCCTGTCCTGGAAGCTCTTGGAAGTATCATTTCCGCCACAATCTGAGGCTGACTGATCACATTCAGCAGCTGACGCACAGAGGAGGACAGAACAGAGGCTCCTGAAGGAGCGCGGCCAACCAGGATGGCACGCCAGACTCCCTGTGGACCAAACTGTCCCTTTTTTTGACCCCCATTCTTCTTCTCTGGCACTGCAACCTAGACACAAGTGAGCTAGATTGGGAGCTCAACACATTAAACACTTAATTTTTATTGTTTATTTGAACCAACAAAAGCAGAAGGAGGAGGTCAGCATGTATGACGACCTTTATAGGAATCGAAAAAGGTTTTTGTAGATTTTTTGTACTAAGTGTCTGTGTGGTATTACATCTCCAGATGAAAAACTGCTCAGTCTCACATCAGTACCGAATGCTGCTCTGTAAATTAGACTTATTAGACTAATGAAATGTAAACATTTTCCACATGAGAGGCTGTTAATGTGAGATGTTTGCTACTACAAATTATTATTGAAGGAGTGAGAGGATTTGGAGGCGTTTAAAATACTAAAAAAACACCCGAATTAGCTTCATACCATTTAGTAACTCTTAAATAAATTATGAAATATATACATTTATTGATGAGGTGCTGGCAATTTTGCAGGTCAAAGCAGCTCCTGCCTGTATTTATGTTTTAAGAGTGAAGCATTGGGCTAATTAGACAGCAGTGATCCGTAACGCATCCATCCACCGCATGGCAAAGAGATTCCCTTCAGGAGACCATTAAAAGGAAACAATTTCCCTTTTTATGTGTGAAATCAGGGCCCAGCCGGTGGTTTTGGTAGAAAGAGAAGGGGGCGGAGCCTGGCTGTGGAGGCCATATGTTGCTTTTCCAACTTTCTGTCAGCGAGGCTGTTCAAGCTCCCTAATCCAAGATAGAGGAAGACTAACTTCTGCTGAGATAAAATTCAGCTCTTGGGGAATCCGACTGACACGCCTCCTTACTCTGATGGTTGGGAGTGTCAGAGGGAGGAACATGAGCAGTGGGTCAGATGAGAGGCTCATAAAATGGCAACAGGTGGCAGCAAGAGTCAGAGAGAACCCAGAGAGATATATGACAGCCAGCGCATCTGCAGAGCCATCAGTCAGTGAGACCTCTTCACCCCCCATGACACATCCATTTGGTTTCTGGTGGACTAACGTTCCGACGTGAGCTTTGAGATGAGAAAACGCTGGCTGGGAAGACAGAGAGAAGAGAGAACTGGAGATACAGAGGAGGGACTCTTCTTCAGACAGCGTTTATCTCATGTGGCTCAGTTATAGACAACTAAAATGTCTCTGGAGATACCGTGAACTTGTTGGATTTCCCATGTAGGTCCATTTGAGCAGACTGACATTTTTTCGTTTGTTTTTTGTCTAAGAGAAATGTTGGATTGGATTTCTGGTTTTGTCTGAAAACAATGGAAGGCAAAAGAGACTGAATAAAAGGAGAGGACACTAGGTAGGAATGGAATAAGGTAACAAGGAAACACAGCAACAAGTAAGGACACTAGGAAAGAAGGGAACAAGGCAACAAGGAAAATAGGGAACAAGGCAACAAGAAAGGGCATTAGGAAAGAAGGGAAAATGAAACAAGAAGGGAAACTAGGACAGAAGGAAAGAAGGTAAAAAGGAAAGAAGGGAACAAGGCAACAAGAAAGGACATTAGGAAAGAAGGGAACATAAAACAAGATAGGACACTAGGAAAGAAGGGAACATGAAACAAGAAAGGAAACTAGGAAAGAAGGGAAAATGAAACAAGAAGGGAAACTAGGACAGAAGGAAAGAAGGTAACAAGGAAAGAAGGGAACAAGGCAACAAGAAAGGACATTAGGAAAGAAGGGAACATAAAACAAGATAGGACACTAGGAAAGAAGGGAACATGAAACAAGAAAGGAAACTAGGAAAGAAGGGAACATGAAACAAGAAAGGAAACTAGGAATTAAGGGAACATGAAACAAGAAAGGAAACTAGGAAATAAGGGAGCAAGGCAAAAAGAAAAGACATTAGGAAATAAGGGAGCAAGGCAAAAAGAAAAGACATTAGGAAAGAAGGGAACATGAAAGGACACTAGGAAAGAAGGGAACATGAAACAAGGAGGGAAACTAGGCAAGAAGGAAAGAAGGTAACAAGGAAAGAAGGGAACAAGGCAACAAGAAAGGAAATTAGTAAAGAAGGGAACATAAAACAAGAAAGGGCCTTAGGAAAGAAGGAAAGGTGACACAAGAAAGGAAACTAGGAAAGAAGGGAACGTGAAACAAGAAAGGAAACTAGGAAAGAAGGGAGCAAGGCAAAAAGAAAGGACATTAGGAAAGAAGGGAACATGAAAGGACACTAGGAAAGAAGGGAACATGAAACAAGTAGGGAAACGAGGAAAGAAGGAAAGAAGATAACAAGGAAAGAAGGGAACAAGGCAACAAGAAAGGACATTAGGAAAGAAGGGAACATGAAACAAGGAAAGAAGGGGACAAGGCAACAAGAAAGGACATTAGGAGGGGAACACAAAACAAGAAATGACACAGGAAAGAAGGGAACACGGTAACAAGGAAAGAAGGAAACCAGACAACAAGAAAGGATACTAGAAAGGAAGGATACAAGGCAACTAGAAAAGACATTAGCAAAGAAGGAAACAAGGGGGATAACACAAGGAAAAAGGAAAACTAGGTTAGAAGCAAGGACACTAAGAAAAGCAGATAGATGTTAAGAACATTTGGATAAAGAGTACTAGGAAGCAAAGGAAGTTAGTTAATAAAAAAGAAAGGATACACCTTTTAGACTATGTGATGGGAATAATCTGGAAATATGAAGATTTTTAAACATAAATTTCTCCAGACAGCAGAGGAACCACAGTGGTGGCATTATAAGAATGAAATATAGAGCAGCTTTCATGTCACAAACAGCAATATGGGTGAAGACATTTTTTTTTTCAGTGATGAATTTTCCCTTGTCAACATCATATTACTGACAGAGCAGCGTTGGGACTCATAAATTAAATATCTTTCTTCAACATCTTAGACTTTGTGTACATGGTTTAAAACACAATCTAAAACAGTCAAGTGGCAGCAGAGGCATAAAGATAAATAATTAAGGAGCAGGATTTGGTCTTACCCATGCCTATGTGATCCCCGGGAGCGCCCAGAGTGATGGGAATAGCCAGAATAGGTGGACTCCGTATCCATGGCAATGCAGGCTCCAGGCAACAGAGAGGCAGCTCCGCTCGACCGCTGGCAGCCCCGGTGGAATCCGGCGCGCTCGTCTCGTTAGTCTCCGAGGCGATCGATCGGCCCGTTCAAGAGGCGGGCTGCGGTGGTGAGCTGTTGGCGGTCAGGCTTGAAAGCGACCCTGCGGGCGCTCGGTAAGAAAACATCAACCTGCAGAGAGAAAAAAAACAAAACAAAAAACTAAGGATGGGGAAATTTAAATTCAAAAGGTGGAACGTCTGAGAATCCTGCCGCCATGCATCCGTCAGACACTCGAGGAGAAAAGGAGGCAATAGAGTCTGATGGGGAGTAAAGATAAAATCAAGCATTCATCTCACATTCTTTTTCATCACGCCTATTTATTCCCCTCGTGTAAAAAACGCTCGGATGTGCCCTTTTTGTTCTGCAGCTGCATTACCATCAGCTTTTCCAGCTCTGAACCTGCATGGTGACAGCACTTTTACAGGCAGCTCTGAAAAGGATCCACTCCAGCTGAACATAAAAAGAGAAGTTGTTCTCATTCCCCTCCAACTGGCAACTGTTGATCTGAGTTTCTCACATAGAAAAACTACTCAAGCATAATAACCAAGCAGGATGGAGTTTGGTTAAGTTAAAAACCTGTAATTTACACACAAATGTGTTGAAAAATATTCTTTTTTTGGATGACACCAATTCTATTTCTTTTTTAAAGCAATACTTCAACTAAAGGAAAGCAGGTGCTCAAGCTCTGCTTGAGTCTAGGTTTGATTCCAACAGAATATGCAATAGTGTTGCACTGATACCAGTATCGGGCGGGGCCCCGATCCAGCACTAAAATGGTGGTATCTGTATCGGCAAGTGCCGACAAATAGGGCACCGATAATATTTTGGGAGCCAAGTTCATTCAACTGTTATCATCCATTCCAGGTAGGCAATAAAAAGTTCTACTGGATTCACTTTGTATTAGTTTTTTTCCTGCTTCACAAAAGGTAGGCAGCAGCTTGATAAAGCCATGATGGCAATTATTTTACATCCAAGTAGTATGCAGTTCTTCATATATACACACACATCAATTTCAAACAGATGGTATCAGTATGGTATGGGCCAATACTGCACAGCAGGGTATCGGGGCCAAAAAATGGCATCGGCGCAACACTAATATACAAGGAATTACAAGATTATCGCATTTTACAGAGCTACTAACCGGTTTGGGAAAACTTAGATGAAACTAATGTTGTTACGAGACAAAAAAATAGGCAGAGTAAATATAAAAAGTAGTTTTACATGAAAAAAAAAAATAGTTATAAAACCTGGCCTGATGTAAAAAAAAAAAAAAAAAAAAAAAAGATTCTTTTTTTGGTTGGTTGGTTCATATTCATAAGCCAAACCCAGACCTGATTATTGTCACCCCACTGGAATCAACAAATCATTTAATCAAACCCGTAGAAGTAGAAGTAGGCTAAAAGACAGAAAGGTATTGGGACTTTTTCCCTCAAACCAGTGCTTTAGCTTGTTTTAGCCCTTAGTTTTTTGTCTTTGCATTAAGACAAAGTTTACAAACTCAGTTTCTTAACATCCTCAATCTGGTACATTTAACAAGAACAGGTTAGAGACAAATACATTCACATCAATTAAAGGCTTTCAGGGGTCATGATGTCATTTCAAAGGAATAATAATTAGCCAGTGACTTGATAATCAAATTTACTGCAATAGTGCAGAAATTACTAATCCAGGAAGCAACAAAGGAACCTAGAAAAAATATCTGAAGCATTCCCGAGCTAATTTGTTAAATTGTAGTCAAAATGCATCATTCAGCAACAGGAAAAGAGAGTATTCGGGGGGAAAATGAAATAAATGAGAGAGATACAAGCTCAAAACCAATGCAGACCAAAGGACAAAGTTATTAAATTTCCCAAATAGAATCTAATACATGGATGTTAAACTCAACTCCTTAAACTTTTAGATATTCATCTTTCCAAAATCATCTTAACCAAATGGCTGAAATGCTTTTTTAGTTAAAGTCAAACCCTCCAGATTCCTGGAGGGTTTGACTTTAAACCCTCCAGATGTGACTTTGAACCTTAAACAGATGTGAGGACCAACAATATGGAGAGCGATTTCATTTAAAATCAAATAAATAAATAAACACTGCAATTGATAAATTGTTAATATTCCATTAAATAATTAAGTATCCCTATGAAATAACAAAAATATGTAAAAAATGATTCTTATCATATTTCAAAATGTTTTACTTATTAAAAGATTTATTAATTAGGTAATTGTTTTATTTGATTAGTTATGTATTTAATATTTATTTATTTCATAATGGAGTATTGTTATGCGACACAGAAAAATATTCCTTTATTTTATAAAGCTACTATATGAGCAATGATTCGATGCAATCAGCTGTTTTTTTTTCTTAGATAGAAAACTTTGAATCAATTTGACTGGATGATCTGGTGAACTGTAAAGGGCCTTGAGGTGACGTGTTGTGAATTGGCGCTATAGAAATAAACTGAATTGAACTGAGTGGTTTAGAGACATGTCTAAAAGGCGTAGGACTGGAGTCTGACACGTGATGAATACTGATGAGATGCTAGTTTGATCCTAAGGGAGAACGTCCGGCCATCCGTTTGTGACTCTAGGTTCAAGATCACTTGGTAATAAAGTAGAAAATGACCCAAAGAACAACAGGAATGTTTAGTAGGAGATCAAATTGAAAACTTGGACTTGTTCCACATTGTTTTAAACTACAACAAGGTCAGAATCCCCAGTGGGTAATTAGAGCACAGGCTTTGGTGCAATAAAAGGAAGTGGGTAAACATTATTTTTTTTTTTTTGAATCACTAAGTAAGGCATGAGAGCTCAGAAAAGGTTTTTGAGAGGCTGGGTTGGCTCAGGGTCAAATCTAACAAGATATTTGTGAGGGATGGCAAAACATGAGTCACAGCTACCCTGAGGCAGGCTTTGATGTAGTGAGGCTGCAGGGACGCGCATAATCACAACCGCACATTGATCTGAGGTAGCTTAAAAACATAAACAACAACACACCTTCCTTCAGCTGCATCTTCACTGGCTTTATCATTCCAGCCCAAAAATCTCCACGATTAGTCCAAAGGAAAAGTCAAATGCTTTGTTAAGCAGGAGCAATGCTTTAAGATCGTGGCGCAAAGAGTTTCTGATATTTGAGTCACTCTGCTCTACGGGTCTGGGAGCGTGCATTGCTTTCATGGTTGTCACAGGCTCCTGAATGGGCTTTGCGGGTTGTGTAACTGCATACTTGGATTCTCATACTTGTAAATCATTTTAACGGCCTGGATCATCCTCACACGTCGGAAGAAATATTTAAAAATCCATCCCAACTGGTTTTTAACGGTCTTCTTTAGACCACTAAGTAAAACTCAGGGCGGTGTGATCCTCCTCTCCAGCTTTAAGTCTTTTTAGATGGACTGATATGATTGATGGTCTGTGTGAGACTGTTCTGCGCCTACAAGTTGTGCTCTATGGAGTTTGAATCATTCAAATAATCTCTGCTAATAAAGCTACAAATACTGGAGCTACATCCCATATGGACACCTGATTTAATTCTCTTAAAAGCAAGAAGACACCAGTAAATAGGGAATTAATGAGGTTATGGGGTAAAATTTCAGATAGATTACCTAGAAATTCTGAATTTCCTAAACTGACCTCAGGTTCTGCAAAGAACTTTCGCTCTAAATGCAACAGGATACGCCAGAGATCTCACATGGAAACATTCGAGTTTCAGGAGATGAAAGAGGAATGCCATGCGCTGGAAGGGAAGGGAGAGCCCCTACAGCCATCCAGGACCCCCTGCTGCTCTGTCTAGAAGAGCATCACTGACTTTATTCAGGTGGATCAGAGGAAAAGGAGATGGACTCAAATGTATGCAGCTGTTTTTTTGAAACATATTGAGATTTCTTTTCAATGATTACCCACTGCTTGGTTAAGTTCCAGTGATACTTTTCCAGAAGTCTGCACAAACTTGTAGAGGTAAACGTTTACCCGTCACACTCACAGAAATGAAAGAAAATACTTCCATCTTAAGAGATAAAAACCGCAGACCCCCGGGCTGTCTGCTGTCAGCGACCGTAAGCACACAGTCCTACAAAGCTTCACTTTTCACTCTTCGTCCAATAAAAGCAGCAGGCGGTGTTCGATTATCAGCTGGAGTGCTGTCTTTGGCACATTGTTGTGTAGCTTTAATCAAACAGCCTGAGTCTAGCTGCCTTTATTGTTGCAGCAACAGAAAAGAAGCAAATTCTCTGGAGCCGCAGGTTTAAGACCCCTGCTCTAGGTCCGGTTTTAAACAAGCCTAACAGAGAAAAGCGCTATATTGAGCAGCTCTAGTCTTCACAACAGGTTTAAATGTTCTCCCGATAGTAATCTGCCAGTTTTAACTTAAACAGTTCTTATTGTTTAAAAAAATCTTTATTTTCCCTGAACTGAAATAAACCTGGAGCTCTTATTTTGAAAGGCTCAGGCTGTAATCACTCTGGAATGAGGCTCTGATTTCATGTAAAAATGCTTGCTTATATATCAGAGAGTTTCTTGCAGCAATGCACCTTTTTTATGTGCTTCTGCAACACGGTACAACCGAAACCTTTTAACTCCTAAAAAACATAGCCTTGTTTCTTCTGATAAAAATCTAACTCTGACTACATAAACTCCCTCCAAAAATCCTTGTTATTTCAGATTTGCCTGCGAGCGCTCTGGACTGAGCTGATTAGGACTAATTTATGGGACTGACCTTTCTGAAGTTGTTCCGCGAGTAAAAAAAAAAACTCCGGGAGGCCCATGGCTCAATCACACCCCGCCGGACTTACTGACCCTCACTCCCTGAATGCAGCCGTGAACTTTGTTTAAGGAGGCTGTGTCAGAGATGAAGACAAGTCTGAGGTGGTCCTGTGACCAAGAGCTACTGAACCACAGAGGCTGACCTGGTCCTGAACCTATCCGGGCTCTCTGAGCGTGTAGGAGTCAAAGGAAGGACAAGAGGAGCTCCTCCATCTCTCTGGTTCACAGCAGCATATTAGGCATCTAATGAACCAGATGAGAGTCTTTCATCCATTGGACTCTATTGCATGTGGAAAGAAAAAAAAAACTTTCAATAAGCTTTAATTACATAACACCAACTAGCAGTATTTTTATGGTGGAAAGTGTTTGGACTTTTG